CGGAAGTCGCACACACATCTATATATATATATATATATATATATATATACACGAACATGATAATGCCAATGAAAAGTCTTTGTGCGCATCTAACTATTTAGTTCTTTGGCAGTTAGAAAGATGTATGCTGATCATCGTTGTCATCCAACACGATTGCTGTTGTTGAAACGAGTGACGTGTGCATTGCGCGACAAATCGAGCTCGTTTATCTTCATCAACTTTTCTACCAGGACAGACAACTAACCTGTCAGTATCTCTGGTCGTTGTCGGATCTCACTCAAACATCATTCTATTACTTTCACAGGCTAATGATGTGCTGGCTGCCAGTCAGAATAGATGGAAGAAAGAAAACTACTAACGCACACGCACTACTCGTCATCGAATCAATCCATCAAACAGTCACCTCATTTTCTTCTCCTTCTTCTTTTTCTCCTTCCTTCTCCTCCTATACTTCATCCATTTCTTCTTCGTTTTATTCTTTTTTTTTTTAATGCTTGTCTTACTTCGTTTGCACTAGTAACAGTCACAATGATAATGATAATGATGTATACTTATAGATTAAAAATAGAACTATTGAGAATGAATACATATATTTTATAAAATAGGTTCAATTACCTATAGAAATTGAAATGTACATATATATATATATATGTCACTTTTTTCTGTTTTTTTCATCATTCATATGAAACAACTAACAATTAGTTCACTCTACGGTTACTAACCCATCACCATCACCACTATTTCCGATGATTGACACATGATTGACATTCCCAGTTAATCAAAATGACGTGCAAGTCGTCATTCTTTGTTTCTTTCTTTTTTTTCTTCGTCTTTTCGACATTTTCTTTTATTATTATTATTATTATTATTATTATTGTTCAGATTCATATGTTCAATAGTATCTAGGTATCAGAACATCTATCATTCTAGTACTTTTTTTTATAAAGATTGATCAGCATTTCAATTCTTCTTTCTTTTCTTTTTTCCTCATATCATATAATATATCTAATATGTAGATTTGTCTATTCCTATCAATCAAAAAAAAAATTTTGAAGGCAATACTCGGTAAGTATTTCTTTTGTTTTCTCTCTTTCTCTCTTTTTTCCGACATCGACCCATCCATCACTCACTCATTCACTCACACGAATGATTTCTCAACAGAGAAAGAAAGAGAGTAAGAAGGTTTTTTTCTTTTTTTTTTTTTTTTTTTTTTTTTTTTTTGTTGCTCAATTCTATTTTTTCTTTCTTCTTCTTCTTCGTCTTCTTTCATATTCTCATTCATTCATTTGTTATATTATTCTAGAATGACGGATAATAGCAGTACACCTATCGATTTACGTATTAAACGTAAACGTGAGGACATTGATGAATATAAATCATCAACAAAGAAAAAATCTCGAAATAATTATGAATATGAAATTCCACTTGATTTATCTATTAAATCTCAACAACAAGAACAACATCATGTATTTAATCCAATAAATTCATCATCCACATCATCATCATCGTCAATACCTTTTTATGATCCAACAAATCTTCTATTTAATTCATCAGCATTACTCTATGATTTATTTTTAGCAAATTTAAATTCATATTATCAACAACAACAACAGCAACAACAACAACAACAACAACATCGTGTGAATATTGAATCAACAGTACCTATATCAAAACCAACTAAACAACAAACAATAAATTCTTCTCGTAATATAAAAGATAATTCAACAAGTAAACAAGAATCCTATGCATGTTCATGTGGTGAAAAATATTCTAATGTTGCTCATCTTGTTAGTCATCTTAAAATAACAAATCATAATGCACAATTATCATCTACACATGATGAAGTTGCTAAACTTGTTCGTGGTCAAGATATATGGTTATCACGTGATACAAATCCAGCTAATCAAATTTTAAAATGTCTTCGTTGTTCATTATCATTTGAAACTTTACCTGATTTAACAGCACATATGATGAAAACAAATCATTTTACACAACTTTTACCTTCATCATCATCAACAACAGCAACAACAACAGCACCGTCAACATCATCATATCATCATTCCAATTTAAAACAACAACAACAACAACAACAACAACAACAACATTCACCAACAAAACTTTTAAATCCTCCATCATTAATTCGTTCAACATGTCTTATTTGTTCACAACAATTTGCACGTGAAGTTGATCTTGTTGATCATATACAACATTATCATCAAATACGTTTTAATTGTACAACATGTGGAATGTATTTTGAAAATGAAAATCTTTATAAAGAACATATTCTAAAAGAAATGCATCATAGAAATGGAAAAGCTAATCGAAATCGTGATTATTTTCTTAATCAATGTAAAACATTACAAAAACGATCATTAATAACAAAGTAAAAATTTTTTTAAACAAAAATTTTAAATAAAACTTTTCTTTTTATTTAGAACTGAACGACCAAAATCTCGATCATCAATTGATAAAGATGTTGAACAAGTTACATTAGATTTAATTGATCGTGTAGTTAAAAATGATGAAGAATCTAAAGAATTTACAACTAAAACAACAACAACAAATGCTAATGCATTATCACTTTTACAAAATTTTGTTATTAAACAAACTCCAACAACAAATCGACAATCAGATTTAAATAATAATTATGATGATGAAAATACAAATTTATCTCAAAATGAAACATCTTTATCATCAAATATTTATCATCATCATCATGAAAAAATTTCAAATAATTTATCATTAAAATCAAATGAAAGTCCATTAGTATCATTAGAAAAAATGCTTTCTTATCCAACAACAACAATTCAATCATTATCATCAACTATAAATGATAATGGAACAATGTCAAATTTATCGAATAATTCAATAATGACAATAAAAAAAAAAAAATTTGATAAATATAGATTATTTGCTGAAAAAATGCTTCGATCTACATTGTCATAATTATTACAGTTTTTCTTCTTGTTTTATTTAATGTTTCCCTTTTTCTTTTTCTCTTCTTTCTTCATATAAAACAAAGTCAATTTTTATATCAATTCAATTGTAGTTTTGAACTATTCGATGGCAGCCGTTTTGTTTTTTTTTAGATATATATATATATATATATAAAGAACTATGAATGATTGATTGTTCATTTTGACATTGTTTTCCATAATATTTTTAGAACTCAAAAAAGCATTTTCTTAGTATTGCTAATATGTCATTTCAAATGAATTCATTTTTCTTCTGGGAACATAAAGAAAATATGTTAATGACTATTTTTACTTTAACTTCAAAAAAAATATGCTATGAATGAATAAATGATTTTAAGAAGATTTGGCAAATTTTAATTAAACTAGAAAATGAATATATGAATATTATTGTTATGTTTGAAAAATAATTGCAAATATACATATGGATAGTGTTTAGTCTGTTGTTGTTGATTGCAACTTTCTCATGTGCTTAATTGTGAATACTTTTATTTTTTTGCAAGTATTTAGTAATAATGAGTGTGTCAGAAGTTTTTGAACCAAAATATTTCTTCATTTTTCGACCAATTAAGAAGGTCAGCGGTATAACCCATCGTATGTCAAGTGCAAATCTATATTCAAAATTTTTGTGAGATTCTTAAGAGTTATGACCAAATATTTGAAAGGTTTGAAAATAAGATTTAGACCGAGACGAGAAATGTGATTGTATCCTGCTGGAAATTGATTTCATGCTATTGTTCAGTGATTTTTCTCGTTGCTTTCGTTTAAACCTCCATTTCTTTTCCTTTACTGCATCACGTTTTAACTTTTTTTTGAATTAGTATCTGGATAATAGACTTCTTTCTCAGCAATGATTTCCCTTATTGCATACATGCTACTAGCGATTTTTTTGTAAAGTATAAAAATACAGACTGTTTTCTACAAAGTCAATTAAGAGCTGAGAGTCTCGAAACTATCAATCTTGAACGATCGAGTTCAATTTGTAAGTCTGAAAATCAAGGAATTGCGAGTATATCATTCTATCTCTTACGGAAACTCATTTGTTGATAGACGCCTTAAAGATAATTAATGATTAAGATATTATTTTGTAAAGAAATGTTTGTTCTTTATATTGAGATATTTAGAATAAATGTTACCTCTAGCATTCAAACTTTATTTTTAGGTCTTTCAAAGATTCGCTCTTAACGACTGTGATCTATGAGTCTCACAAAAATTCTGATTCTAGCTACGTATTCAATACTTTTTACTGATCCTTTTTTTAATCGGTCAAAAAATGAATGAATATTTTGTTTTAAAACTTTCGATGCACTCATTATACGTAAAAATGGACATGGATTAATGATGTGATGCAGTTGTAACATCATTCTCTATCGTTGTATTGTATGTCTATTATGTTAAAAATATTTTAATTCATTGGAGTTCTTGTTTTCGATCTCAGCTTGAATATTAATATTATATAGCTTTCGCAAGAGTTTTATTTTATAAAGAAAATATTTCTTTTCAAAAATGTGCGAGCAAAATTTTTCTTCACTTTTTTCCTTCTTCAGAAATATTCGATTCTACAACGAACACAAAAAAGTTACGTGCACATCTCTAAATTAACATAAGCCAATACGAATAGAAATATATGTATGAAAAACTATTATCTTTTAAATCTATTGTAATGCATTTATAAAGAATAAACAAACAAGTTTAAAATGAAGAAATTTTCATGTAAGAGAATTTTTTCAATTGAAACAATGTACTTGATTAATCACAACTGAAACTATTTGAAGAGTATTTCATTTGATTTATTTAGATATGTAATGAATGCTAATTATTAAAAATCTTTGATTTCATTTTTATCTAACTTTCAAGTTTCATTTGAATATTATTGACATTTTTCGAACTGAAAAATATCAGTTATTTTGAAACAAACTGTTGTTTTAGTTTAGGAATTTATAACACAATTGTTATAATATCAAATATTTTAAAGAGAATTCTCTTTATTTAAATTCTTGGTTTATAAATAGTGTTACTAGAGTTATTTTAATGACATAATCGTTGTGACTGTTGTATTCTATTAAAGGAATCTTTTGCTTGATGTTTTTGTATCATTCTATAAGGTATTTCATTATTCATTTTGAATTGATAAGACTCTGACCATGATGAAGAATGTACTTTGCAAATAAATATTTTCTTTGAAAATTGTCTTTTATCAATTATATTTTTATTGAACATACTATTACATCGATAATAATGTGATAAAATATCATGTTTTTTATGTTGTAATAAAGATTTATCTTTGGAAATTAAATGTATTGAAGTATTATCAATATGTTGTCGATGAGTATGAGATAGAATTTTCGATGAATGTTGAATATTTTTTGATGAAATAGGTATTGTAGATTTTGATAAAGTTGAATTTAATAATTTTAGTTCATTCTATATACAAATGAAGAATTATAGAAATAAATCGTATGAATTGATTTTTACTGGAATATTATGACTAAATTTAATAATCGAATCATCATTTGAATCAAAATCTTTTGTCTTTTTTCGAATATTTGTTTTAAGTACTTTCATACGTTTCTCTCGAATTGGATTATAAACAAAACCTAAATCAGTTGAATATGTCCAATTAGGTATTATTAATTCATCATATGAAGATTCAATATCAAATTTATCTTTAAGTTTAATATTTGAATGATCAAATAAAGGTTTTTCTATTTTATTTATTTCTTTTAAATGTTCAAATGATGAAATAGATCCATTTGTAATTTGATTTCCTTTAAATCGATTCATAATTGCTATGAATTGTTTTTGTGGCGATATGGAAAAACAATTCAAACCTTCACTAAGAAAAAAAAAAAGAGAAAACAAACAGAATATACTTAAACAAAAAACAAAAATCAAGTTTTTCACAATTCAATACCACATATAGATCATCAGTATTTTTTCAGTAATAAATTTCTCAGCATCATTAAATAAATTTAAATAAGTCAGTGATGAAAATATTTTAGGTGAAGCTATTCGATTATAAATTGATGGTATTGTATCTGTTGGTATATTTGTCTAAATTAGAATTTGTAAATAATAACGCATTTTATTGATAGACTATTAGAGATGTTTCAAGATCACCAGAATTAGGGGTAGGTCAATGACTCTGGTGATCTTTTGGAAGATTTTTGCTAAAACTGATCGGATTTGGAACGGTGGTTGAGCGTATTTTTTGGAAATGAATGAGCAAAGAAAAATAATAAAAACGTTGGAGAAGAACGAAAATTTTTCAGGGTATCTGAGAAAGATACAAACATTCTCAAACAGGAAACTGATACCGTCAATAGATTGAACTGATTCTACGAACACCCATATCTTTTATCAGTGAGTAGATCGAATCGACTTAGGCATATATTCAAAATATTAGACTTTTATAAATTATAGTATTTGATAGTATAGAGTGTCATATACTTTAGCATTAGCATCAGCATCACATCCTCTTCTTCTATTGAAGAACAGCACGGCTTCAGACAACCATATGAGACTCAATGCTCAGGAAAGAGATAGGAAGAAGATAAATATAACACAAGTATCAATACAACAGACCAAAAATGGAAAGACAGAACGAAAGGAAGTGCTCCAACAGTCAAAGAAGGAGGGGATACGATGCTAATGCTATCGTATATGAAACTTTATACTGTCAAATATGGTAATTTATAAAAGTCTTATATTTTGGATACGTGCCTAATTCGAGTCGGTCTACTCACTGGTAAAAGATATGATTGTTCATTGGTGAAAAAAAGTGTGTATTGGAAATCACTCTCATGTTCAACCATTTTGGGTGTTTGTTTCTTTTACGAATATCCAAATTTTCAAGAGTATGAAGATTATCCCTATCCACTCGGAACACTCTTGTATAGTATACCTTTGCTATTGCTTCAGATGTTGACATATAATGATCATAGATATAATTTGCTTTGAGTTTTGCCATTTGAAATTCTTTATCTTCCCAGACAAAACCAAAGGATAAAAATGTATTGAATACTTCTTGATAACTATTATAAAAAAGTATTTTCAATTTTCTTTCACTCTAAACATAATATTTAAAATACAAACCGTTTAATATCATCGAGAAAAAGAAGATCTTCTTGTATTTTATTTATTTTATAACCATTTAATCCTTCAAATTCGAAATTATCTATAGACATATAATTAATCATATCGATAAAACGTGAACGAAGTATAGGAATTTTGATAAATCGAAAAAATTGTACAATACGTTTTATTATTCGATACCATTTTATTAACTAAAACTTTATATTTTATTTTTTTATTTTTATTTCATTCATACAAATTTTTATCTTACTTTATTAGTTTTATTTAAACTCTGTTCACTTGAATTATAACTGATTGTTGTCGATAATGATTCTTGTTCAATACTAATTGACGGTGATTGTTGCATAAAGAAGATTTCATTTATATATATAAACTAAAAATAAAATAAAATAAAAATGAGCGCAATATTCAAAGATTTCATAATTACTTGATGAATTCATTTAAACAAGAAATCGATCTTCAATCAGTAGCACATAATAAATAGATCAATATATTTTACTCTTTTATGAATAATTAAATATATACTTAAGATTTGATTTTAGGCTCATTCAATAGAGAGATTTTTTGCACTACAAAACTGTTGACTTTGTTTTTGCAATATTTTTCTCTTGTCAGCTTAAGACCATGATCTACTCAATTGTTAAACTATGATCTTCTGTTTTACGGAAATATCTATTGACTTATGGAACTATATGCTTCTCTTGTCCAACACTAAAAGTAAAATATTTAGCGTCAATAGATCGACAAGTCGATGTTCTATGCTGTCACGACATTTTTAAGGCTTCTGGTGTAATCTTTCCGAAAGAAAGGTTTGAATCTAGCTTTAGAGTGGTGTTTTTGAAAAATCATGTGCTTCAAAAGATAAGTTAGGTCTATGAGACGTTTATTTTCATACAATCGTGAGCAAAATGTTGTGACAATGTATTTGAACAATCAAAAACATTGAGATTATTTTAAATTAAAGAATGTATGAAGTATAGTTAACATCTTAGAGACATATTTGAGAAGTTTCTGTTTTTAATTATGAAGATTTGAATTCAAACGAAATTCACTTAAAGAAAAGATTAGAAAACTATGGAAAAATATGATTTTTTTTTCAAACATGGATCTAAAAATCGACGATACTGTTTTGATTAGATGATATTCGTAGATTTTCGCTTCATTTCATAGTCATTTGCATATTTACTCAAAATTTTGACATAGCGGATACATCAACAGCATACAAACAAGTAATTATAAACGTATTTGAAATTTGTTTTTTTTTTTTCTATTGAATTTTCATTTATTTAATTGTTTTAGATTATCTATTGGAAATGTTCTTCATAAAGTGCATTAGAGTTCTTACCGAAGATAAACAGTCATTTTTGACCTTATCTGAAGGTAGTGCAAAAGACAAGGAATCAAAACTATGATATTTCACTTCCATTCTACAAGAAACTTCAAAGAATAAATAAGAGATCGACATACAAATTTGAAGTCATAAGATTTCAATCATAGAGACAACAAATAATCAATATACTTATTCTTTTACATTTTCCTCACCGATGTATATTGTTGAATGGATCGATACATGAGTTCTTGAATTCGAACTTGTTTTATTTCTCAAACAAAGATTATTCAAATGAGCAGCACAAAACAACAATATCGAAATCATTTAGAATGATCATGATGACATGTTTCAACTGTTCATCTTATAGTTCATGTCAATGACAATACTGGAGATCTGTTTTTCTTTTTTATTCCTTAACTATTTTATTTTATATTTTTCTATCATGTTACATAACTTATTGATAGACATATTCGTTTACATTTAAATAAACAAATCAATCAGCTATGAATTTCTCTTCTAAAACAAAAAGAAAAATCATTCTTTGTAATCATATATAGAGCCATTGTTTGAAATATATTCAACTATTATTCTTCTCTTTCATCAATTGAATGAATTCTCTCTATGGATAGTTGAATCACTCTTTCTGTATCAAATGTAACAGTAATTCAACTATAGATAGAAATAAATCATTCAATCGATGAGACCTGTCTTCTTTTTTCTTTGATTCATGAATCAAAGAATTGGTTTTTCTCTCAACCTATTACATACTTCCATATTCGATTAAGAGAAACTCTCTTTATTAAAATACAAACTTTACCATGAAAGTCTTTTATTTATAATACATATCTATTATGTGGACATTTATTGTTTACTTCACCGCTGGGCACAGTCTCATTGTGTTCTCAATAAGACAAAATTTCACTGTACACATGTGCGCACGTATCTTCAAATAGAAAGGAAAAAAATCTTTTCTCTTCATGACATTTTATTTTTTACAATTTCTATACTCTTCCGCGAAGAACGAGAAGATTAGGATGATTTGCAGGTACTGACCATTGTAAAATACTCATTGCACTTTCATAAAATGAAAACACATTCGAATAGTCACCCCATCTTGAAATATACCGAATCATGACAGGCGTAAGAATTAGTCAAATCGTGATGATTTGAAGGAAGAGTCTTTTGACGGATTTCCAATACTTTTTGATGATATGAAAGTGCATTTAAATAGTCACTCATGTGGTGATACACGATAGCAATGTCGTTGTAACAGTCAGCCACATCCAGATGTTGTGATGAAAGATTTTCTCTGTGAATTTCCAATGATTTTCCATAGAATGTGAGCGCATTTGTATATTCTCTTTGGCGAAGTTTGATCAATCCGAGCTGATAAAACATATTTCCTCTCTCATCATCATGATCATTCGTTCTTCGAGCAAGCAATGTTCCATATAAATCTTCGGGTTCATTATATTGGGCTAATGCTACCATCAACTTCCCTGATCAAAGCCATCCTATCGATCCCTCAGTATCTACTCACATCTGTTCAGCAAATGAATGCAAATTCGGATCATTGTCACTAGTTAATGTTAAATCGACTTGCCAAAGACGATTATTTCCATCGATTTGTTTAATGAGTCCAAGACGAAAAATAGAATGCATGGAGAAGAGAATTTCTTCTTCTCCTTTGAAATAACTGATACCACGGATGTCAGCAAATGGTGTTGACGCGATGGATGGATCAATGTTCATGACGAATAAAACATCAATTAGGTCGGACAATGCCATACTTTTACGAGCAAAGTTGAGGGATACTTGCCGTTTCATACTAATTGATAAGAAATTATTCAATGATAACAGTCCACCTTTGGTTTTAACCAATTGACCACAATCAGCCTTCGATAGTCCTTGACCACGATAAACAGTAAATGAATTCGAAGTTGATTATTCAGTAAATTGTTGAGCATGAAGCTTGGTAATGTGGTTGTGAAGAACACAAATAACAGATTCCATGTTTATGATAAGATCGATCTCCATCATTCGTAATGATTGGTTGAGCATCGAATAAAGAAATCATTGATAGGTATACCACCAAATAGGGAGATGCTTGTCATATTCTTGTTCGAGTTTGTTGACATGATGAAGTTCTTTTGGATTGTCGACGAAGACATCGCGATAGTACGTAAGAAATTCATCCATATGATGTTGTTCGAAATAAATACTTAATAAAATTTCTTTCATTATTTGGGTGTAAATGAATGAAAAATCCAATTGGTCAAGATTCTGCTTGCTATTTTCACTAGCAGTGATGAGAAAAGTGATCGAAATCATATTTTGATCACACTCTTGTGCCGCTTGTTCAAGGTCTTAACAGATTGGCGCAATATCTGTAACGACCTCTTTTATTGGCTGATCGTTCGCTTTCGAGATTATCGCGACCAAAAATGAGAACTTTGTATGTGTAGATTTAGTAAGTATAAAAAAAAACTCGCAAAAGACTACATAAATGCGGTACGAAGCTATCTCAAATTTCGTCAAGATCGCCTAGTGGCTGTAAATCCATCATTTTCCACTGCTCAAACGTTGTTGTTCCCTCATTCTCGACTTAACAAAAGATCAATTATTCAATGTTTTAGTAGCAAAATGTATCTCAAATCATCCTCTATTAATCACACTATGAGTGAACTCATTGATTTACGACTCCATTTCAGAAGTATCTGTCTTCTTAGTTTACAACACGAAAAAATCTCAGGTAATGATCAAGCTTGTAAAAGTCATAAGTACTTCTAATTTAAAACTTCACGGCAACATATATACACGATTAGATTTGCCAGCTCCAACGTTACAAGCTCTGGTCATTTTTATGTTTGTTTTTGAGAATAAATAAATAAATGAGCCAAATCAGATCCTTATATGCCCGATTCTTTTTTTCTAACAAACATATTATCTAATATCCTGAGATACATATTAGAAGATGTAGAATGTTATAGAGAACTTTCTAGTGTATCTGAAATTTCAGCAGAACTATAATCGATAAATTTAAATTGTATTTTTCTTTCTTAGGTCATCGAAGTTGAACAGTGAAGTAGGTGGTAGCACCGTTTAGATTTTATGTTAACAAAAGCAAAATCAACAATTTTCTAGCGCAAAACATTTCCTGTTAAATGAACCTAAAATCGAGTCTTTACCATATCAGAAAGTGTCCAAAATAGAGAAAAATATTTTAACCCGTTTATTATGCATCATATATCATATACTTCAAAAGTATCATTAACATATTCTAACAACTTTATTTCTATTTGAAAAATAATTGATACTTTTTTATTTACACAATCAATAGTAAAAATTCATGTATAGAACAATCAATCGTATAGATTACTACATGATATTTCGTTTATTTAATATATTAGATAATATTTTCTATTTATTTTAAATCTTATGAAAAAAATGATATATTCTTCGTATGTTCCATCACTATTTTTTGTTTTATTTTTAATCAACAGTAAACTTTTAGCATAAATTTATATTTCTTTTCTTTTTTTTTGTCTTTCATGATTGCAAAAAAAAAAATTTACATTTAGAAAAAAAAAGGTTACGATGTAATTTTTTTGATGTTTCAACTGGAATAAAATGTAGACTAATATTTTATTGGTAACGTTCGATTAACATTGCATGACCCTAGAAAGAGGGGAAAAAATCGTAATTAAAAAATAATTTCCTTCAAATTTATACGTACTTGACCACCAGCCGCACAAGCAGCTAATAAAGCTAAACGTTTATCTTCTCGAATTAATCGATTAGCAGCTGTAGTTACAAGTCGAACACCAGTTGCACCAAATGGATGACCAATACTTAATGATCCTAAAAATGAATAAAACTTATGATTTTTATAAAAAAAAATAATCAAATAAAAAACATACCTCCCCATTTATTGAATTTATCAAGAGGAATCTCACCAACCTAAGAATTAATTGATAAAAACAAAAAAAAAAACAAATCATCTAAAAGAATTATAAAGAAATTCTTACCTTTGATGAACGATTAAGATAAGTTTTAGCAAAATAATCCGAATCAAGTGCTTTTAAGTTTGCTAAAATTTGACCCTAAAATTAAATGTACACCATAACATAAAAAAGAAAATATTTCTTCTTTTTTTTTTATTTTTCTTTTACTGCAAAAGCTTCATGAAATTCAAATACATCAATATCATTTAATGTTAAACCACATTGATCAAGTAATTTAGCAGTTGCATATGTAGGTCTTTAAATAAATAAACAGAAGATATTTGTTTTTCTATTTCAAATACTTTTAATTCTTACCCAAGTAAAAGTTGATCTTTTGGATCTTGTGATGTAAATACATAACGTCTAAAACAAAAAAAAATTAATTAATTCGAAAATTTCATTTTTGTTTTTCATTTACCGAAGATAAGCTTTTGGTTTTAATCCAAGTTCTTTAGCTTTATCAACAGATGTAATTAATGATGCTGATGCGCCATCAGTAATAAATGATGAACTAGCCGCTGTTATTGTTCCATGCGGTTTAATAAAAGCTGGTTTTAATTTACTCATTTGTTCTAAAGTTGATATACGAATACCATTATCACGACTAACAACATCTGCTGCACCTGAAAAAAGAAATTTATTTCAATTAATTTATTCTTTTTTTGAAATGTTTTACCTGGAATATGCATTGGTACAATATCATCAAGATATCCTTTTTCTGTTGCTTCCTGTGCCAATTTATGTGAACGTTGAGCATATTCATCTTGTTCTTGACGTGATACATCAAATGCAGCAGCTAAACGATCAGCTGATTGACCCATAATTTCACCAGTAGAAAATTCAGCAATAGCTGGAGCCTATGTAGAAAATATTTCTTGTTTTTTTTTCTTTCTTTTATTTATAAATTCTCGATTAAAGAAAAATAATTTCTTTACTTCAGGTACGAAATTTTTTAATGATAACATTTTTGTAATTAATCCCAAACGTTGTGGTGTTGATTTAGTTCGATTTAAATTTAATAATAATTTTCTCATTGAACGTGGATAACGTATAGGAACATCAGACATAAAATCAACACCACCCGCAATTACAGCATCATTTTGACCAGTAGCTATATTATTTGCCGCTAAATTATAGAACAAATACGTTTTATATAAAATTCAAATATATGAATGAAAATCTTGTTTGAAGAGCCGACATTTGTTACAACGGTTGTCAACATAATATCGGACGTGTGATTCGAGACAAATAGCTGTTAGTGACTCGTTCAAGGTCATTCCCATAGCTGGTAGTACTAAGATTTGATCACAGTATCTTGTGAATACATCAACCATTGGAGCAATGACCTTCTACTACACCTTGTGAAATTCTTCTTATAGGTGACCTTTTAATGAGTATGGTCTATTAATATAGGGTGACCTTTAATTCTGGAGAGGTTTAGTGGCTATTGTTGTAATCATCAACAGTCATATAATATTCGCTTATTCTGACAAACTGAAATCCATGAGTTTTGTCTTCGAATAGAATACTACTTTCATTCTAAAAAAGTTCTTTCTTAAAATTATTTCACGAGTTTTTTTTTAGGGTGTTACTTTTTCGTAAAACCAAAAAATTTTTTTAAATATTTTGTTAAATTTATCATATTTCATAAAATACCTGAAGCAATAGCAGCATTTGACGATATACAAGCCATTGTAACTGTATGTGCAGGAATTTTATCCGGAAATCCAGCACTAAGTAAAGCCTATTTATGACGAAAAAAAAATAAAATAAACAAAGTCAATTGAGAACTTATAAAATATATTTCAATACTTCTCGAGCAATATTTGATGTTTTAACTTCTTGAATAACTGTACCCATAATGCAATATTCTGGTAATGATTTATCAATATTTGTTCGTTTAACAAGACCACTAGATCAATAAAATTAAATTTTCATGGATTCTTTTGTTCTTTTTCGATAACAACAAAAAAAAAAAACCTAAACTTACAGAAGAGCATGTCGAGCTAAATGATAACCCATTAAATCTTTATAGGATGTGAAACTTTGTAAAAATGGTGTTCGAACACCATCAATAAAGACTACATCACGGCCAAGGCCTTTAATAGATTCTTAAAAACAAAAAAAATGTATTTTTATTAATTAATTTTATTTCTCTATAATTTACTTGTTTTGTTCGATGAACTTGTACTACTAGTTTGTTGAGAACCTGTTTGTCCTTGATTCTGTGTTGTAGAAGATTTTGTCGTATTTGTTGCTAATGAACGAAGAAAATGTGCATTATTATGACGTAAACGAATTAAACCTATAGTGTTAATTATAAAAATTTTTCTTAATATTTGATTTAATGAAAAACAAAAAAAAATGAATCTACTTTGTTGAAATGAATAACGAAAAGCCATCAGAATGTTTCTTTTTCTTTTTTTTTATCTAAACACAAACATATATTAATTGAACTCTATCTATTGTATCGGTATAGTTCAAAAATAAATATGATATTGGAATTTGAACTATATTTTTATTGATTGATAATACAATAGACGAATCATTATAATTATACAGATGTCGTATTTCTACAGTTTGGTTTTTTTTTTCTCAGTCACGTTTTCAATAGAATATAATGTTTCTTTTCTTTGTGTATTTTGATGAGTACAATATAAATATATCTATTTGAAATTAACTTCCTTAGTTATTATATTATTCATTAAGATATAGAAAATTCTATATCAACAATTGAACAGATTTTTCTTTCTGAATAGACAACAGAGACACATCAAATATTCTTTTCATTGTGTCTATTACATAGATATAGACTATCTTATGGTCAATGTATATTGTATGATTGTTGCATAATAGATCCATTTTCTTTCATTGTATTATAAAGACTGTATGAGAGACGCGTGAGCATATATAAGCGTCATACGTTCCCCTAAAGGCTAATAATGTCATTGTAGCAGACAACAATTGTTCATTGAAGCACACATGGACATGTAATTTTTCGATCAATTAGAGATCTGTGATCGAATCTCTAATAAACTAAGATAAATTAAATTATTCTCTTAAAAAGAAAACAATTTATTCCTTTCTAAATATTAAATTTGAAAAAAAAATACCAAGAAAAAAAGTCACGTTTACGATTGAATAAAGAATAAATACATCAACCAAAAAAAAAAAAAAAAAACATTGCATTTCTAATGAACTTAGTGACTATGAAATAATTACTCTCGAAAATCATTTCTTTTGTTGTCAACGTTTGTTTTTCTGTTCTCATCGTTAATAGATTTGTACCCATCAGCAACAATAGTATAGATGAGATTGTGTCCTGTCGTATACAATGTTTATTGATGTTTGCTTGTGCTTAACACTAGTGGAACTTTATCGGACGCTGAGTGTCGGTCAGGAAAAAGAATTTATGCTGCATTTGACCAATCGAGAAAGAGAAGAACGTTGATGAACAACCGTTCTTCTTCTTCTCTTCTTTTTTCTTTCTTCTCCTCCCTCGTTTTTCTCTTGACGTATGAAGAGAACAAAGGAGGAAAATCTCGCCGTCGACCGTCGTTGTCGACGAGACATAGATGCGTGTATGTGTGTGTGTGTGTGTGTGCTAGATGAACGAGAGTATATACTAAAAAGAGAGGAAAAAAGTTGGATGGTTTGTGGTTAGAGAAGAGAGAAGTAGAACGAGAGAGAGAGACATCGACCGACGTGTGTGCATAGAGAACATCACCCCTCCATCTATTGCTTCTCCTTCGACAACAAATAATACGAACGAGCTGCGGTTTATATTCAAATAGTCCTCTAAGTGAAAAATTGAACAACAACAAAAACCTAATAACAACACTCGTTTGTCTTCAATTGATTATGACATCGTCGCTTTTCGTTACGCATACTATAAACAAATATTTTCAATTATATCTATTAAAATAAAATAAATATGTCACAACAATATTATATCTGATCCATAAGGCTACAATAATTATCAATTAAATAATATATTTTATTATCGTGAACAATTTACTATATACGCATACAACACAGACATAGTTCATATAATGATCTGTGATTAATTACAAATTTTCAATTTATTTTCCACATTAAAAAAAAAAAATGAATGTTATTGAAAATGCTGAAAAAGAATGTGCCGTACTTGGTACATTATTTCAAGGAATTGTCAATGAAATGAAGGTTAGTACTAATAAATCATAATTTCTAACTTATATTCGATAGATAAGAAGAAAAAGAAAAAAATAATACCTCGAAAGTATATAACATCTGTTTGATAGAACACATATAAGTATTGAAACCTTCAAATGCCAAGGATTTTCATCGTCATCATTATATATATACATATATATGATAGAGTATTGTATCTTAAGTTAAAACGATTTTCAAGCTCTAATGCAAACATCTAAAGTGATTATTAGTAACATAACGTAAAAAGAATACGACCGATCATATTACTTCTATATAACAATCTGACTTTTTTTCACACATTATAATGATAAAAGAAAGAAAGAAAGAAAGTTAACATTTTTTTTTTATCTTGTTACTTTTATTTTTCTAGAACAGTTCATCATTATGGGAAGATTTAGCATCGAAAGCAAACAAAATGCATATTCAATTAAAGTAAGTTCTTTTTATTATAATTATGTTTCATCAACCTTGAATATTGCGCTCAAGTAATACTATTTAGTAAAAGTAAATATGTCTATGCACGATATATTCATTGTGTTCGCCTGATCAAATCAACAGGAAAAGCGTTTTGAGAGAAATACCATTGCAATAATCGAAGAGTTGATTCTCTCTCTCTCTTTTTTTTTTTTTTTTGTCTATTATAGACGATGTTCTGTCTTATATATATATATTTCTTCATTGATGAGTGCGATCGATAATTGAATGATACACACACACGCAAACGGAGTAATATGTGATGAACAGCTTCTTTTGAGTAAAAGAAGGAGTTCATGATAGAATGAGAGAGAACAGTCATTTTCAGCTGTCACAATATTTTCTCTTAAATTAATTAGCACTTGAACTGATGCTCGTGCTATTTGATAAAAAAAAATACTAGGCAACTAAACAAGCATTCATCAATATAAATGAAAAAATAATAATAAAACATTCGATCACTGGATTATATGTATGCTGTTCAATTTAGTTGACACATTAGGTAGACGAACATGAGCATGTGAAAATAGTCATTTTGATATTTACATACTAATTTCTTATTCTTTTCATTATTAATATATATATATATATATACAACTAGTTCGACTATACATATTCTAATGTATATTTCATAGTTTTAACAAATGTCAGTTTATTTTTTTTCTTTCCTATTATTTACAATCTATGATATGATGAAAGTGACTTGATCAATCATTACTATTAGTTTCACACATATGTGCTCATTCATCAAAAAACATCAAAAATAGCTGTTGATTGTCTTTTCTTTTTTTTTGTTTAGATCAACGATTATTACATTTAGTCTTTTTCTTGATGCTTTTCAACGTATTGCTGATTTAGCAACAAATACAAAAGGTGCAACTAGAGAAATTGGTACAGCATTAACACGTTTAATTTTACGTCATAAATCAATTGAACAAAAATTAAAATCATTTACAAGTTCATTAGTTGAAACATTTATTCAACCATTAAATGAACGTATTGAAGAATGGAAAAAATCAGCAAATACATTAGATAAAGATCATGCAAAAGGTCTCAAAGGTATTTATATATATATATATATATTGATTAAATTTTTATTTATATAATTTATTTTATTAATATAATAAGATTACAAAAAATTACGTAATGAACTGCGTAAAAAAGCAACTGAAACAGTAAAATTACAAAAAAAATGTCGAAAATGTATGATTAATAATTTTTTTTTTCTTTCTATTATTCTAAAATATTTATTTTCTAGTACCAAAACATGATATATTACATAATAAACTTAATTCAGCTATACAAGAAGTATCAAATTATTATGGAATGTTAGAAGAACGTGAAAAACAAGCATTACGTTCAGCAATGATTGAAGAACGAAGTCGTTTTTGTACATTATTTACATTATTAAAACCTGTTATGGTAAATAAAACTTTTCAAAAAAAAAAAGAAAAAAAAAACCATTCAATTAGTATTTTCGAGTACCGGATATAACAAAAGAACTTAAAGGATTCTTTGAGGAATTGAAGCAATTTCCTTGCGGATTTCTTTTTTTTGCTCTGATTTCCGTTCTATAAAATTATGAATGAATTCTAATGTGATAACAATCATTAGTATATTGATCGTTTATAAAGTGCTCAGTTTTGAAAGTATTATATTATAATAAATGAATATTTTTAAATATCTGTTAAAACTAATAAAATATATTCTGAAATTATTTTCTAATACAATGTAATATGAATAGACAATACTCTCTACAATCGTTTACAGTTAGAATTGAAAGTCATAAGTACTCTTATCGATTCTTATGAGTAGTATTGCGATAATGCAAATAAACATACGACATAGATTATTAATAATATACATATATTTAATTTTTTTTTTCTGTTTATTTCAATAGGAACTTGAAATTTCACTTGCATCAGAAATGAGTCATATTGAAGATCTTGTTCAATGTTTAACTAAACATACAACTGATCCACATTGTTTACCAACAGCTAGTGAACAAGTTATTAAAGATATTAAAGGAATTGATTACAGTACAATTGTTGCATTTAAAGTAAAAGAAGAAGTTTTTTTTTTTTTTTTTTTGAGTTTTTTTTTTTAATTATGAATATGATTTTAGACTCCACCATCATCACCAGGTTCATTAAGTTCACGTAAATCAAGTGTTTGTTCAATAAATAGTATTAGTAGTTCATCATCAAGTTCAACAAATAATTCACATAGTCCAAGTCATAAACAAACTCAAATACAACAACAATCACAAATACCTATACCAATTCAACATCAATTTTGTCAATCAAATAATAATAATAATAATATTAATAATAATAATAATAATCGATCATCATCAATACCTGTAAACAAAATGTTTTGTTTTGAAAAAATTTTCTTTTTTCTTTTTTTTTTAGTCAAATGTAGCTGTAAGTCGTTTATCAAGTGTATCATCTCAAGATTCAGGTTTTACATCACAAGAACAGTTTTTTGCTCGTCCACCATCACCACTTGCAGAAGCAGAAGTAAACATTAATTTTGACAAAAATACAAGAAAAAAACAAGTTTTTGTTTTTTTTTTATTTAGCGTGAAGTTGATGGAAGTTCTAGTCCATTATTAGTTGTTTGTTCAACATTAAATGCTTGGGCTAAACGACCTGAAATTCCATCAAATTGTAAACATCCGGCAACAGTAACCGGTGCACCTGAACCAGTAAAAAATTGTCGACCAGCTATA